TGTGAAAACAGCTCTCTTTATCCCTGTGCTATTGTATCTCTTATAGGCAGAATGTACCACTACTCCCCCAATAACCGTTTCAGACAAATAGTATATTTAGGCTGCTCTCAATATCATGTGAATAATTGTCAATCCCTCCTCATGTTTTGCCCTATCCTCTCTCAAACTCTTCCTCCTTTTCTAGCTATTTTATGGCAAAATGCTCTCTCTCCTTTGACCTCATAACAATGAGAACTTATATTACTTCAGCCAGCCATTCTTTTTTTAATTTCTTTATTGATTAAGGTTTTACATATGTGTCCTTATCCCCCCATTACTCCCCCTATCCCCCACACTCATGCCTTCACCCCCCTGTTGTCTCTGTCCATTGGTTAGACTTATATGCATGCATACATGTCCTTTGGTTGATCTCTCCCCCTTACTCCCACCCTCCCCTACCTTCCCTCTGAGGTTTGACTGTCTGACCAATGCTTCTCTGTCTCTGGATCTGGTTTTTTTCATCAGTTTATGTTGTTCATTATATTCCATAAATGAGTGAGATCATGTGATATTTATCTTTCTCTGACTGGTTTATTTCACTTAGCATAATGCTCGCCAGTTCCATCCATGCTGTTGCAATGCTAAGAATTCCTTTTTTACCGCAGCGTAGTACTCCATTGTGTAGATATACCACAGTTTTATAATCCACTCATCTGCTGATGGGCACTTAGGCTGTTTGCAAATCTTAGCTATGGTGGATTGTGCTGCTATGAACATAGGGGTGCATATATCCTTTCTGATTGGTGTTTCTGGTTTCTTGGGATATATTCCTAGAAGTGGAATCACTGGGTCAAATGGGAGTTCCATATTTAGTTTTTTGAGGAAACTCCATACTGTTCTGCACAGTGTCAGCCAGCCATTCTTACATGAATCTATCTTTTTGTTTTATTCACCACATTTTCAAACTAAATGTTTTTTAAAAAATTAAACTTGAGGTGGGCAATGGGGATACAATTTTATACTGCTTTGTTACCCCTGCGGTTGTTTTCTGTAGTATAATGCACAGTAGATGTTGCATAAATATGTATTCATTGGTTGAAAGATAGTAGCTTTCCTCAATGATAAAGACAGATGTAGGATGAGATTTAATTGAAGATTCCAGAATTATAACAAATATTACTAGAGACAACTTCTAAAAGGGTTTGCCCTCTATTCAGTATAGGTTAGTTCTTATGTTCACTAGCTACAAACCTCAAGGTCATTCCTTTCTCATAAACTTCACTACCAGGTTCATAGGTTTCCTCTTCATCCTCCTGCTAGTCATCATCCTTAGAGCTTCAACATCTATGCTGGCCACTCCCCAAATATCTGGCCTCATAGTGAGTACCTTTACCTACTTAACCCTAGAAATCTTCATTCATTCTTCACTTGTTTGCTAATACATTTTTATCACACCAACTTCTTTTATTAACCTAACAATAACTTGGCAATTGTTTTACAATAATGTTTAAAAATATAATATCTAGAGTTATTCAAACTTGCTGAAACCTCTATTTGGGAACTTTCTAGCTATATAATACAGAACAAGTAAGGTAACTGTTGAGAGACAATTTTCCATGGCATTTCTGTCCATCTTATAGCAGGTTTAATTCTGCACTATCTCTACAAGTGTGTTAGTATAGCAAACAGCCTTGGAAGATACAAAGAGTATCTCCCTCTAGGATGGAAGGCAGATCTGTTTTCTGACCAAGATAATAAAGATACTGTCTCCTTTTGTGACAAATGTTAAGCAGGTTTGCTAGCAGCCTCTTACAAGATTGGAGGATTCCTAAATTTAGAGTTCTCAGCAATGACACAACTCCGCTATATGCTGCATTCAACAGGGCCACTCTGTATCGCCCCAATGGGACTTGAGGGGCAAAGGACCATGAAGCTTTTGCCAGCTGCCATGAGTAATGAGGTCATTTGTGTCTGGCTTGGGAGTCTTTTGTTTCTGCTAGCATCCATGAACGTGTGGCTGGCTAACTTCTTAGCTTGTGAGAAGGGTAAGATCTTAGGCCTGTCACAGTTCGTGATAATAACTTCTTTATGCCTCAGCTTCCCCTACCTGTAGAATGGAGGGGGTGTTTAGAACCAGCCTGAGCCTTGCAGCTGGACTGTTCAACAGTATTTGGTGACTTACTGCCTCCTTGCCAAACCAAATTTCATGTTTTCCAGCTCAGCTCTCACTGGTGGCTCTGTGGCACTGACACCATAAATCATTCTCTCCTTCTTGAAAGTTTCCAATCCTTAGACGGTGAGTCTGAATTAAACTTGTTTTCTTCCTACATTTCTCTCTCTCTTTAAAAAAGAGATTATTCATAAAACCCATTCAATACACTCCATCCCAAACACCATTTAAATAAATGGTGGAATTTATTTAAATCCCCCCAAACTGACTGGACAGACAGCAAAGACCTGAATAAAAGCTTGATGCTAAAAAAAAAAGAAAAAAAAAGAAAAGAATATATAGGGTGGAACAATAGGTGGTTTACAATTATGAGTATGCAAAACACAAGAGTTTATTCTTGTTATTATTTATTAATATTGTATTATTTTCCACACAAACAATGACAAACCTACTTGGGCCCCACCCTGTATAAAATTCTAAAGGCTTTTAAATTGGAAGCAGACATCTGAGGAATCTATATGCCATCCTGAAAAGTCACACACACCTGAAAGGAGAATGTTTTGCAAATGTCCTAAGACGGTCTTAAATTTCCACAAAATACTCATTAACAATATAGCAACAGAAATCCAAGTTTGTTTTTAATAGAGGAAGGAAAAAGCAGAAATCAGAATGAGGGGGTGGACGGAGTCAAAGGATCTTTATCAAAAGGAGTTAAGAGTTATGAGAAACCTAGGAAATGTCGAGTCACTTATGTATTAGTTATTCTCTGATGTTTAATCTTAATTAAATATTTGCAAAAAATTACTGAAAAGAAAACAAGGGAAAAGGTGGTTGTAAGCTATGTGGCCAAATGACCACTGAAACACAGGGAGGAATGATGGAAAGAAGACAAACTTTTATCATCAACAGATCCCAGGGAATCCCAGCTCCAGCTGTCAGTGGTCTTAAGAATTTGTGATGTAGTACTTTCAACAATTAATATTTTTAAACATTTAAAAATTGCCTGGCTGGCATGGCTCAGTGGTTGAACATCGACCTATGAACCAGGAGGTCAATGGTTTGATTCCCAATCAGGGCAAATGCCTGGGTTGTAGGCTCGATCCCCAGTGTGGGGTGTGAAGGGGGCAACCAATCCATGATTCTCTCTCATCACTGATGTTTCTGTCTCTTTCTCCCTTCCTCTCTGAAATAAAATATATATATATATATATATATATATATATATATATATATATATATAATTTTTTTAATTTTAAAATTTTAAAAAGGAACTGGCATTAGTTACTTAACTTCACCAAACTTCAATTTACTTACTTCCCAAATCGGGTAAGACTATCCATCTTGAAGAATTATTGATGGATTACCTCAATAAATTGTATCTATGGTAAGTATAACTATTGCAAGATCGAAACACTGAAGAATTACCTCTTCAGAAATTAATAAAAGAACTGAGAGACATTTCTAAATATTTCCCTAAAGGACATAAAAGTGTATCATGAGGTACTATATATACTCGCCAAATATAGCAAGAGAGAACTTAAACTCTGGCTTCATAAAAACTCAAGGTGCAGAAAATCCCTTCGTGTCAGACTTGCCTAACTCAGCGTTAGTCTTAGAAAACCACTTGCTTGATTTGGTGAACTCACCTGTAACAGGAAATCAAAGAGGGCCATCTTGGACCACTCGTGGTGATGCACTGCAGTACAGCCCCACTCCGGTCTGGGTGCGCGGCCATGCTGCCAGCACTTCTGCTTTAGCAGCTGCTGGTAGGCTCCCCAGGTGAGCTTCACAGAAGAGTGGGTCTCGTTACTTGTTGGAGCTAAAGATGGATCCCAGAGAATAACAGGACAGGGGCGGCCATCTAGGGAATTAAAAAAACAAACATGTTTTCAGCATGCGATTGCTGAGTGAGTGTGTCCTCGGGCAGTCACACATTTTCACAGCTTCAGGCTCTCGCCTGTCAAATGCCAGAGTGTGATTAGACGATATGTTATGATCCCTTTATCTTCTGAGGCTTTAATATTTAATACCTCAATGATGCTTCCTGAGCGAAGTCTTATATAATGGAAGGTATTGTTAGACAATTAGAAATGTTTTTTAAGCAGGATACTTGAAAGATGTGGCAGAAATTGGCTACTAACCACCAATAAGAACGTCCTCTGGTTAATGTGGTTTTATTCCACATCTAAAAGTAGGCACCACAAAAAAAGGAAAGGATCCAGACACGTATAATTGTCTATTCAACGTCTGAATGGAACTGCTCTCTATTTGTAATAACAACTGTCTGATTTTCTGAGGCTGCTTTGTGATGTCAGGAAGAAAAAGCATTTTCAGAAGTCGCAAATTTAAAAGTGAAATTGTATGGTTCACAACCGTCACCACAATCTCCAAAGAAAAAGAAGCAAGAGTGTGTTTTTTCTTCTTTGATAAAAACATCAGTGCTCTTGGTAACAGATCATTTACGCACATGTAACCTCACAAAATGTATTTAAGCAAATGTCATTTCTTCAACTGCATGGGTATAGGTGATTTTTCAAAAAATCTGTCACTTGAATTGTTTTTGCCTCACTTCAGATAGTTTTAAAATTTCATTGCTAAACTGCATCAAATGACAAGCCTGACTGAAGTCACCATAAACAGTGAAGACCATGATGGGTTACACTGGAGGACACTTCAACCTCAGAACCAATGGCATCACTCCCAGGCCCCTGTTTCTGCTAAAGTCACTGAGAGAAGGCATGGAGCAGCTTTGCTTATCACTCAGAAATCAGAATGACGCTCATGGGGGAAAGAAACAAAAAACTAAGTCACAAAGATGTGTAGAAAAACAAAACTAAACCACTTAACTCACTTTTAACAGGCCTGGGCAATAGAAGCCTCTGAAATTATGACTGGAATGTCTAGACACATCACGGGGATTTTTAAAAGCCATCTATAATAATAGAAGCATAATATGCTAATTAGACTGGACAGCCGAACAACCTTCCAGACGTCATTCTGGATGTCCTTTGGGGCGAAGCCATGGCAGTGGGGGACAAGGCAGAGTGGTTAGAGGCGATCAGGCAGGCAGGCAGGCAGATGAGTGGTTAGGAGCCAGCGGTCCCAGATTGTGAGAGGGATGTCCAACTGCCAGTTTAAGCCCGATCCTGGGATTGGGCCTAAACTGGCAGTTGGACATCCTCCTTAGGATCCCAAATTGTGAGAGGGTGCAGGCCAGGCTGAGGGACCCCCCCGCCCACCATGCACCAGGCCTCCTCTAGTTTAAAATAACCTAAGAGTTTCTCAAAGTATAACTGGTTTCCTTTTTGTTAAAGCTTTTGTTTTCCCACCTTGCTTGCCTGCTTCTTGCTGAGTTTTTATCTCTGGTCTTAAATGCAGGAATTCATCATCTTCTCTAACCACTCTTGAATTTGGGGTTACACTGACCTCAATAATTTTAACAGCATTCACTTAATCATTCTAACCACCTGTATTCTAGTTTTGTTTAAAAAAAGAAAATCTTTCTCCTCTTAGCCTTGAAATTTAGGCCAAGGCATGCCACAGTTATTGACATACAATTTAAGAGGGAAAAAAAAAAACAGAGAGAAAACAAACAAACAAACAAACTTGAACCATAAATAAGGAATTTCTTTTTTAACATTACTACTCTCCTTTTCCTTTATTTTTACTCTGTTAAATGCTTTCGGGCTCCTGGGACCTAATTATCTTCTTAGATATAATATAAATCTAATTTTAAATGTATTGCTCCAACTATTATGCCAATTTAAAAATAATAATAATATATTCCAGACAAAAGCAGTCCATCATGCAGTGAGAGATACATATAAATCAGTGTAAGCAAACATGACCAGAAGACACAATATAGCTTTCAAAGACATGAATACTGCAGACTTCTAAAGATAAACATCCAGAAGCTCTATCAGTCAGGGTCTTTGGACCAAAGTGATACCCAGACAGCTCTTTGCATTCTCAGTGCTAGGAAGTATTCAAAGGGAGGTGAATACTGAAGTTTAACAACACAAGCCAACACATGAGACAGACAGGCCAGAACAGTTTCCTCAGCAATTCACTTAAGACCCTCAGAGAAATAAGGAAATGATCTACATAAACAATTGAAATAATTGACAGCCTTTCTGGGCTGTCTTTCCTTTCCTTTAGAAACATTTGTTTCTTATTTTCAAACTAATTAAAAGTAAATCTACTCATTTTAAAAAACATGGGAAAACATTAAAATGTGTAGCTAAGGAAACAAAAACCATCTATAATCTCCTACCCCAGTAGGTTCTGTTATTTGGATATTTACCTCTGGTAGTTTCCCATCCCTTTCTTTCTCACCTGAAGGACAGGTAAGAAAATTAATTTCTGTTTAAGGAGTATAGCTTATGGTTAAAGCCCAGACTCTGGAATCCATCAAACCTTTTCAATTCTGATCACATTACTTCTTAGCCTTGTAGCAGTAGACAAGTTATACAATCTCTCCTTGCCCTTTTCTTCTGTAAAATGAGAATAAATTATGTACCTTCCAAAAGGACTTTGTTAAGCTAACGGGGTTCACACACTTAAAATTATCAACCTGGTACCTAACATTTGCAGATCTCAGAAAGGTTTTGCTATGATTATTATTACATATATACATTGTGCAATTACATAATTCATCAGTCTTCAACTGGCCTTTATTTGTTTACTAAAGGCCCAGTGCACAGGATTCATGCACTTGGTGGAGGGGTGTGGCCTGCGGGGATTGGCCCACTGTGGGAGCGCCCCTCCTACTGGTCAGCCAAGCGGCTGTGGACCAGCCTTATGAACGGCTCATCCCGGTCAACCAAGTGGCACTCCCACTGTGGGAGCGCACTGACCACCAGGGGGAAGCTCCTGCATTGAGTGTCTGCCCCCTGGTGGTCAATGTGTGTCATAGCGACCAGTCGTTTCACTGGTTGATTTGCATATTAGGTTTTTATTATATAGGATTGAGCATCTACTATATACCAAGCATCATTCTACACTTGAAATAATTAATGCATTTTTTTCTTTCATAAAACTTACATTTCCACGAGGGGAAGGAAGCAACTATTATGCATAGAAAATAAACTATTTGGGATCATCTTTTATATACAATTTGTTATAATTATTTCACTAAATATATCATAGACATTTCTCTTATTATAAAATATTTTTAAATAGAATCACCTTATGATACAGTGATCTAACCCAGTGGTCAATAAACTTGGTTAAAGGACAGATAGTAAATATTTGAATCTTTCAGGGCTACATGGTCTCCATTGCAACTATTCAACTATGCAAGTGCTCAAAGGTTGTAGCATGAAAACAATGAAAGACACTATATCAATAAATGGTCTTGGCTCTGCTCCAATAAAGCTTTATTTCCAGTGTCATAGTAATACTATTATTCTTTTTTCCCAACCATTTAAACTTGCAGAAACCATTTACCGCTTACAAGTCATACAAAAACAGGCAGTAGATCTTAATCTTGTCCAGTCTACAAGTACATTGTATTTCGTTTACCGCTTCTCTACTTGAGATCATCAAATCTGCTGAATGGCACATTTTCTATATGATTGTTTAAAAAGTTGTTCTCCGACTGCGAAAGGAAGGGAGCTTTTAGCTGATAGGAATACTTGATTTTCAATTAATATTCTGTTTTCCTCTTCACCCATCCATGGTCCCTCAGCAAAATATTTTGAATGTTATCACATGAAGACATTCCGTCCTGCCCGGCTGGGAATCAGAGCGCCTTGGCAAAAGGGGGTTTACAGGAAGCAAGAAAAAGGCAGGGTGAGCAGCATCCTGCACGCTGAGCAGTGGGGGACTAGGGGGCCTTTTGATTCACGGGTCTTCTTGCTCTGCGTCAGCACCTATGGCCCGCGAGAATACAGCAGTAGTCAGTATGGCTCCAGACCTCAGAGCCATGAGGACTACTGTGAGCATCCCACTTCTTAGAAAATACGGCTGTTAAAAGAATTAACTGAACTTTGCTAGGTCTGAAGTGATGACAGGAAAATAGTCTCTGAAAACAGGAAACTGGTTAAAGCAACTTACCCCGAAATTTTTCAGAGAGGAGGAGCATTCATCTCTTCGTATTCAAGTTTGTCAAAATGATGCAGTAATGTACTCTCTAGAGAAATATTAACAGTGCAGAGATAAAATTCTAACTGTCAGCGTGGTGCGAAAGCAGGTTTTAAAAGATATGTGGGTGTTCGAGTGAATTAAAGGTGATACAGCTGTCTTTAAAAAATGAGACTGCCGGGAAAGCTGTTTTTCCCCCCAAATCTGAATATTTTCCCTGAATTCTAATGTTCTCTCAAGTTGTTCTTTACTCAAAAGCACAAAGAAGACATTCTTTCCTGAAGATAAATGTGAAAATTCACTGAGAATGAATGCTATGCACAATCCCCTTTGCCTCCTGTGAAATGCCCTTCACTTTGAACACCAGCTGACTGGCTTTGTCGAACTGTAGGTGGATGCTAAGCATGTTGAGAGGACTTGTGAATGTCTGTCTGTATTTGTCACTGAGCAAAAATAAGTAACAAATAGCCTGAGCACTGAAATCAAAAGTCTTTTTCTATCACATGGGCCAAGCTCCAAGACTCCTTGTGAACAGCCCAGCTCAGAGCCTTCATTAAAAACAACTCTACAAAAGCCACGATTGGAGACAAGGACCAGTCAAATGTGAGGCTCACCTTTGTTATTAGGGAACAAAGTCTGTCGGGTTCCAGCGCAACCGTCCAGTGTGTGGCAGGAAAACCTCAATGCTGCAGTTCTCTGACGGATAAAGGCAATTGCTGTTGTTGATGCAACTCTGATGATCATGTAGAGGTGTCTAGTTGTTAGCGATCCCTTAAGTACTATCCACTCTATTTTCCAGCAGTAGGATTTTGGCAATTAAAAGTATTAGACTGAAGGGAAAACGAAGGCCGGAGCTTTTGGTGCAGAGTTGTTGAATGCAAACAAGTTGTTGATGTGAGGCCCTGGGCAAAGGGGAATGCAAGATTCTGTAACAGGCCCTACCTGGTTTGGCTCAGTGGATGGAGCATCAGCCTGCGGACTGAAGGGTCCCAGGTTCATTTCCAGTCAAGGGCATGTACCTTGGTTGTGGGCACATCCCCAGGAGGGGGTCTTCTGGGGGCAGCTGATCGATGTTTCTCTCTCATTGATGTTTCTAACTCTCTATCCCTCTCCCTTTCTCTCTGTAAAAAAAATTCAATAAGATATATTTAAAAAAAAAAAAAAAAAAGATTCTGTAACAGCCAGGAGGGAAGAGGAAATGTGAAAGGTTATGTGAAATTTTACTTCTGGTCAAGGTTTTAAATATTGTTATTTTTAAAAAGTATTTACAATTGCCCCTTAATTGTCCTCAAATGGATCTATTGGTTCCTATGTGTCAGGTGGAAAGAATTCAGAGTGAGGCATTCTGAAAATGGAAGCCTGGGCCTTTGAGAGTTCAGAGTTTAGTAGAAACAGATAAGAGCACATGCATATGATGATCAAATGAACTGTTTGACAGTTTGATGAGTGTTTTGAAGGCAACAAGTGAAGGACTAAAATAAAGACTGGGCTCTCGGATAAAGCCGAGAAGTGAAGAAATGCTGTGCCCCAGAAGAGCAATGTGGTGAAATGTCACGGTTAATAAGAAGAACCTTTGCTGAAAAAGAGCTGAGAGTCTGGGGTAGAAAAAGCAGTCAGAATGTTGACTATTCTTGACTCCATCACTTGTCTCCACAGGACTTGAGCCAAGTCCTTCAGCCACCCTGACTGAGGCACAGCAAAGAAATCTTTCTGGCAGGGCTGCATGACAGCCCAGTGGAATACTGAAAATGCAGCACTGTCCAATATTAACAAGAGCCACATCTACGTTCAGGTTTCATGACATAAAAAAGGGGTAGGTGGTAAGGAGGCAGAATTCCACAGATTTTACACGGATAGATTCTACACAGCCAGCCAAGTTCTGAATATAGGGACCTGTTTCAATCACACAGAACTACATTTCTGGGTGATTGAGAATACCTTTTGTCAAAACACAAACAAACTATATTTACTTATCAAATTGCTTCTCACTTCATGATTTATTTTCTCTAGGTTGGACTGGGATAAAATAATCTCCATATTTCCGCAAGAGTTAGCTAAGGAAGTGGGCAAGGAGAATGTCTTGTGACTTCCTTCATCACAAACTACTTGAAGAATCTAAATCATCAGTTCTAATTTAAAAACATTGTCCTCTTTTGCTCTGAACCTTTGACTAATGACAGGAACTTCTGCTTTCTAGGTCTGCCCTGGACTTCCGCTGTGTAAATGGAAACTCCTATCTCAATATTCCACTTAAAAACAAACAGGAATCAAACTTGACTGCAGAGGGTGGTGATGATGTGGTCATTGTACCAGGCTCCACAAACAATCACATTTTGGGAACAAAGTCTTGGTCACTTCAGGGTGACCCAGTCCGAGGCAATTCAGTGTTTATTAATGTAGATAAAGGAACCATGAAGTCCTAACCAGAGTGACCTTCATACAGAGCAAAGCTCATTACATCACTACTCTTCTTTAAAAGCCTTCAATAATTCTCCATTATCAGCAAGATAATGTCTATGTCCTTACATGACATAAAACCCACCCACTTTCCACAGCTTTATCTTACCTCATCCTCACCCACAACTCACCCCCACAACCCTAATCTCCTTTTTACAGAACTATTTGCAGTTTCCTAAGCACACTGTGCCTTCACAAGTTTTTTACACATCTATTTTTTTTACCCTTTATTCACCCACCCTATCTCACTCCACCCACAGTGACTTTTAAGAACCAGTTCTGACATTACCTCTTCTAGAAGTTTTTACATCCCTCCACTTACCCCTGTGCACATGCGTGTGTGCACTTACACACACACACACACACACACACACACTGGACTAAATTCTCCCTCTCTGTGCCTGCAGGGCCCCTAAAAATATCTCCACAGAGGTCCTTATCCTACTTTTCTTGCATGGATGTTTTTCTCAGCTGTCTCCTTCCCTCTGAACTGAGAGCTCTGTGAAAATAGGAACCATTTTTTAAGGAACCATTTTTTAATCATCTTTGGATCTCCAACTTCTGACATAATGACTCAACCAAAGCAAGAATGCAACCTTGTGATTAATGAATGAATGTGCCTTGAATAAAAGTTTGGTTGATATGACATCCCAGTAACCTGGGATTTCACTGTCCTTACGCTAAATGAATTGAGACGGATTAGAGAGAAACTTGAGAAATAGAGGTAGGGATGCGCAGAGGTTTCCACACCCTCATTCTACGCTTCTACGCAGCTTGTACTTGTAACATCACATCCATGTATCCGTATTCTATGAGACACTGGGATGATGAAAACAGGGGTGGTGGGAACCCCACTGCCTTTCTCCGCCTGACCCCAAATCACCATCATGAGGAGGGAAACAGTTGTTAAGGCATCATGGCTACATTCAAAAATAAGACCAAAAGGCAGTGGGTTACAATATGGATGTACGATGAACTAGAAAAACCCATGGCACAGCCATTGGAGGCTAATGGGAGATAGTATACAGTGATGAGGAATGAGGCTACAGCAGCCGTGGGCAAACTACGGCCCGCGGGCCGGATCCGGCCCATTTGAAATGAATAAAACTATTGAAAAAAAAAGACTGTACCCTTTTATGTAATAATGTTTACTTTGAATTTATATTAGTTCACACAAACACTCCATCCACGCTTTTGTTCCGGCCCTCTGGTCCAGTTTAAGAACCCATTGTGGCCCTCGAGTCAAAAAGTTTGCCCACCCCTGGGCTACGGAGTCCTCCCAACCCATATTTATAACCCAGCCCCACCACCCAACCTGTGGACCTTCGGAGGACATATGTGATTATTCTCTGAGCCTCATTTCCCCACAGAAAATCTGTCCAAGAAAATCTGATTATGGGGCTGTTGTATGATTTAGTGAGATAATTGATGTAAAGTGCCTAGCATTCTGCAAATGAGATGTTGCCGTTATCCACTATCAACTCCAAGCACTTTCTTTAAATGACAATTTTAGATGCCTGTTTATTTAGGTCAAGTAAACATCAATCTAGATAAACTAAGAAAAGCTAAGGAAACACATCACAAAGAGCTGAATCAGCTTGGAAACTAGATGAAAGTAAAAGGTAACATTTACTGAGCATTACTCCATGCTAGGCACTGTATTTTATACCTATCAACTCAATTTTCACAACACTTCTATGAGGTAAGCACTGTTATCATCCTTATTTTTTTTAATATGTATATTATTGATTTCAGAGAGGAAGGGAGAAGGAGAGAGAGATGGAAACATCAATGATGAGAGAGAATCATTGATCGGCTGCCTCCTGTACACCCCACACTGGGGATCAAGCCCACAACCAAGGCATGTGCCCTTGGCCGGAATTGAACCTGGGACTCCTCAGTTCTCAGGCTGATGCTCTATCAACTGAGCCAAGTCGGCTAGGGCATCATCCTTATTTTTATTATCACCTCCCTACTGTACTAATGAAGAAATAAGGTACAAAGAGATGAAGTTACTTGTCCTAGGTCACACAGCTATCAAGTGGTAGGGCCAGGATTCAAACTCAAGGAGTCTACATTGCCAGTTTCTGTGGGCTGACCTGTGTCCCCTCAAAATTTACATGTTGAAGCCTTAAACCACAGTGCCTCAGACTGTGACTGTATTTGGAGGGCCTTTAAAGAGGGAATTAAGTAAAAATGAAGCTATCATGGTGGGCCTCCATCCAATCTGACTGTTGTCCTGATAAGAAGAGGAAATTAGAACATACAGACGCAGAGGAAGGGCCATCTGAGGGCACAGGGACAAGGTGACCATTTGCAAGCCAAGGAGCGAGGCCTCAGAAGAAATCAAACATGCCGACACCTTGATCCTGGACTTCTGGCCTCCAGAACTGTGAGAAAATACATTTCGGTTGTTTAAGCTATGCAGTCTGAAGTATTTGTGACGGCAACCCTAGCAAACTAATACAACTGTCCATGCTCTTAACTACAAAGCTATTTGAATTAAAGACTATTCAGCTTTTTCCCCAGGCTTAAAGCAGTGCCTCACACACACAGAAAGTAAATGCCATTGATTATGACTTAATTCAATGGAA